ATTTTGCTAACCGAAAAAATGAAAGAAACTGTTTACCACCGGCTTGCCTTACATACATCCATACATACATAGTTGGCCGCCTGTAAATGTATACGTATTTACCGCATTACTACACATGCTCATACTTATAAGCTTTCAAAAAAAAAAAAAAAAAGTAAAAAAAAAAAAAACGAACTCATCCACTATTGTCAAAGTAGAGAGAACGCAGGGAATATATTAAAATTGTACAACAAAAATGAAGGCACGTGTAAAGTTTTTTATGCCTTTTTTTTTCATAACGCGTCGTTTATGTATTCGAACAAATGTATATAAACCTCTATATGTGCGAATGTATTTATTGTATATAGAAACATATATGAATCTTCAGTTTCATTTTATTGCATGTGTTTATGTGTATACATATAAAACATTAGCAGCTTTATATGAATGTATGCATTTGTGTGTGTGTGTGTGTGTGTGTGTGCGTTTGTTCAGTTTGGCATTGAATGTCAGGAACGTACGTACGTAATTATGGTCGTTTCTCGGGCAGTAAACGAATAAAGGAAACAAACAAATGCAAAAAATTTTAAACACGATATGTTCATACATGCTTACACATATATATATATATACATATATATATACTTTATGGAAAGGCCTAAGCCGACCATGCAGAACGCCACATACGTACAATTAAATTTGAGGAAGAAATTTTGATGGATATCGTCTATCACCAAAACCGAAATTATTATAGACAAGTTAAGAAAATAAATTAACGAAAAGGCTGAGAGAAGCAGAAGAAGAATGAGGAAAGTGTAAGGAAATTTGGAAAAGTCCTCTTTAAGGAGCAAATAAACGTTTGGCAAGGGGCAAAACTCTTTAAACAATGTCTTGCCAGAGAAAGATAAAGATGAAGTAGTAAAGAGTAAAAAAAAAGAAAAAAGAGAAGAAGAATGTCCTTGAACAGTTATCAACTCATTTAAAGTACTTAAATTTTAAACTTTATAGACATGACTTCAAGTCCCGCACTTTTTAGATTCAAGTTGAACTATTTCCGCGTCATATGTCTTTGGGTGGTGGAGAATGGCTTTTGTTCAAATGGATTTTAAAATGAAGAGCTGAAGAAGAGGTTAGCTTCGGCAAAACGCAATCATTTGATTGTATTTAATATGACAAATAAAAGGTAGATTGCAAACGAAATTTAAAAAACTGTTTATTTCTCTGCCTTTTGTTTTCTTTTGGTGGTTTTTTTTTTCTTTTTTGCTTTTTTTTTTTAACTTTTTGCATAAAATAAAGGAGCGCAAGCAAACTTTTGCTGATGGTCGTTAAGTCGTTCATTCGTCCACTTGATTGCTAAAATTTTTCGGTGGCAAATACTGGTCCCATAGGTTATCAATGTCCTATAAAGTATTTTGTTTTGTTTTTTTTTTTTTTAATTTTTTTTTAAAAACAATTTTCTAGAATAATTTACAATGCCACTCGTACAAATCCAATCAAAAGCTCACAACAAATGCACTTTTTCGATATGGATGAATTGAAATAATTCCGGGAATATATGTATACACATAAATATACATAAGGGCACAAGTTTAGTTTGCACACAAAGTGTTACACAGTCTCATTTTCAAAAAAACAAAAAAAAAAAAACAGAGACAATTTGAAATTTCTTGAATGTAACTGAAAATTCATTCGTTAATTCATAATTGCAAAAATAAATGTTGTTTATGTACATATATAAATTTCTCTTACACTCTTCTCTTCTTCTCTTACATATTATTTTTGTTTGTTTTTGTTTTCTAAATAGTGCTATTTTTCGCCTACTGCTGAAAGCTGATATATGAATAATGAAATAAAATGAAGTAAACTGATATCTGCTGATTGATTAATTAAGAAAAAAAAAAAAAAAAATGTATTATGGGAAAAAAAATTTAATATTCTTAAAAGTTTATTTGAATATTTACAATAAAGAGACATATAAGCAACACATGTGTAACATTTAGTTATGTATTCGCCTATATACATTTTGTATATATTGTGGTAATTGATGCCTTAGAGGGCGACTACTTTCTTACTTGGAATCAATGTGGACCAACCAGGAAATTCTACACCTAAGCATTCAGTTATGTTATTAATCAATTTTAATTGCATAACAAATTTATATAAATTTGCTTTCTCTTGTATTAGGCATTGGATCCTTCTTTGTAATGGCTGGGTTAAAACAACCAATTGAAAATAATTTCTTATTCCTTCTAATACAAGCACTAATAGAATGTATTAATACACAACATTTGATGAGAAATAAGCCTGCATATATATGTATATGTGAGAAAAGGAAGGGATCAAAAATTTCTTTATTTTAATTTTTTTTTTTTGGCGGTGAGGGGGGGAGAAATAATGAAAACAATCAAAGAGATCATTTCATTGAAATTACATTAATTTAGCGTTTGGCAAATTTTTTTCTTGCATTTAAAGTTAGCATCACTGTTCATAGTATATAGATTTATAGAGAAAGAACACAAAAAAAACTAGTATAAACAAACTCTCTGTGTGTTTGTTGCCATAGCAAAAACCGGCATTTTTTGCTTTCCACTTTACACGTTTCTTCGCTTTATTTTTTTGCTTTTATTTTATTTTTTTTTTTTTTTTGCCTACTATATGTACTTTTCTGCTTTTGAGCAGTTCAACATGTTTGAAAGAGTAAATTTTCGACAGGTTCGATTGAATCACTTTTGTTGAAAGTGAATTTTGTAGTTTTGCTTTACGCCAAGCAATTCAACACCAACATGCTCTCCTCTCGAAAGCGTATTATTATATTACATAGATTTTCATAATTTTTGATAGATATGTATACGAAAGAAAAGCAGAAATAAAATGCATTTCAATTTTATGGGTTAATAGATAATTCTGGCAGAGGATGCTTTTTATGTATATAAAAAAATTGTTTGTATATTATTTGACTTTATATGTAATAATGTTCGTGCTTCCCTGTTAATGGTTGACAATCCTTTTTTTAGGATAAAGAAAAAAAAAAAAATCACATTCTCAATGCACAGTTAGGTTTATTTCACCAACGGTCTCAAAAATATTTCTTTTAATTAAAAAGTCCCTCTGATTTCGATCCCCTTCCTGTTCTGATTGGATCTATCCTCCTTTGTCGTATGGGTGGATCAGGTTTTTTTTAGATCGCGTCCGATCCTTATTCATACATAGGCACCTTGTTTAATATCGAAAAAGAACTTATCGGACTGTGAGGTGCACTTCTGTTAAAGTGCCCTGCTTTAAGCCACTACTTTAAATATGAACAGACTCTTGTCACGAAATACAATCATAAAATATTTGTAGCATTTTTCCTACACTCTAATATATATTCCTATGCCGTCTAGTTTAATTTGGAGATAGTCTTACTATCAATAAAAATTAAAAGCTTTCATAATCCGGGAAATACACAATGGAAGTTTTCCGCCAAAAAAGATAAAAGAAAATATCGCTTTATATACATATATATATTTATCTATATATATATTTATCTGGAAGCAAACCAACCAACCAACCACTACCACTATCAAAATCACCGCCCCCCACCAGCTTATATTCACAGACATAACAAGACAAAAACAACCAACCCAAACTCTGATAAGAAGAAACCTTGAACAGGAAAAACGGAACCTCTCTCAATAGGAAAAAAATAAATAAAATTAAGGGTAAGAGAGTATGGCGAAGAATTCACCCTTAGATCTGTAAAAACAAATCAAAATCAAATAAGAATAAATAGAATATATATCTATACTTATATATATATATATATATATATATATATATACATATAACTCCTGCATAGGCAGGAGATAGTAAATTATATCTGGGGTGAATTTTTCAATGGTATTCGAAGAGATGACGGAAAACAAAAAAATCATAGTAAATTTATAAATAAAAGTATTTTTGCAAAGAGAGAGACTTCAAACATGTTTGAAGCTAACATGTTTGCTTGCAGCGCAAAACGTATTTATGAGACTTGACTGTTGGTTTCATTGAAGTTTTTCTGTCAGGAAAATTCAGTGTAAATTTCGCTTTTATAATAAAAGGTCGTTTTGTTGAGAGGATAATTTGACTAAAAGAGCGCTTGAATTCAATTTTTTCTTACTTGTGTATGTTGAAATGGAAAGTGTATTGAGCAAATGCAAAAAGAAAAGAAAGATTCATAAGAAACAATGCGATAAGAGCGGCTAAATTAAAGGTTCCAACAAGAATTTTTTTCCAATTAAGAAATAATTAAGAAGGTAAAAAAAAAAAAAAAAAAATATAAGAAAAGACAATGTATCATGATAATATTTAATTGTACCAACAAAAATTGCAATATGTCTAACTGTAAATGACGATATATATAAGTGAGAGTGCTTTGCAAAATGTAAGAAGAAGAGGCATAGAACAATATAATTGAAAAGTGCAGAGTATGAGAAAGAGAGAGAGAGCGTCATATTATGTTATGTTAAATGCGATATCATGAAAAGGAAATTGAAAGGATTTTTTTATGCAGACAAAAGGGAATAATGAAAAAATGTTGAAATATAAATAATTTTCGTCTGGTGCAGATAATGGGGAAGAGAAAAATTATGGTAAATTGATGTGTACATATATTTATATATATATACATATATATGTATAAATGCATATATGTATATATAAACGCATATATATAGATATAGTATAAAATAATATTAGTTAAAATTTTATTGAAGTTGAAGCAATAAAATTTGAAAAAATAAAAAAAAAAAAGTTATGAAATAGTAACATTTGGAATTAATTAATTATTTAAAAAATCAGTGCGCAATAATAATAATAATAATAAAAACATTTTTTAAAATAATAATAACATTAAATATTTTTTTATACGGATTCATATAAAATGCATTTTAATTCTTGTAAAAAAAATTTAATAAAACGGTAATTAATAATAAAAAAAAAAATATAATTAAGGAACTTTTTAAAAAAAAAACGGGAAATAATTAAATAATTAATACAAGATAAAAAATAAAAAATTTATTAATCAAAAATTAATAAGAAAACATAAATAAATAAATAAATTCTTCTCATAACACTTGCACGGGGAATAGATGGATGAGCGCTTGACTTGCTACGAAGAGTACGAAGAGTAATAAATGCTAAAATACAAAATAATGACAAGAAATCGAAGAAAAATTAATTAAAGCAAAATTGTTTCAAAGTAGTCGTAGTGCGTATTGGGGATTGAGTTCGTTAAAAACATGTAATCAATTTTTAAAAGCAAAAACTTTTCTAAAAATTCCAAAAAGCCGCAATAAATATATATATATATATGAAATTTCTAAGTGAACGGGAACTTCGTGGAAACTTGGGCCGCATGATGTGCTAGAAAATATAGGAAATATTTTTATATTATAATACCGTATTACTACAAACTTGTCGTTTTATTTCGGTCAATTTGTTTTTTTTTTTCTTTTTGTTTGGTTTTCAATAAAATCGTGAAAAGCAAATCTATAAAAAAAATTGCCTTAAATGGCTCCGTGTCGTAATCAGAATAGCACTGGACAACAAACTCAATCATTACAAGAATTTTCGGATTATAATAAAATCACTTCCAATTACGGAAGTGATACGCAATTAAAGAGTAGTTTTTACGACAACAGCATCAACGTCGAAGAGTTAAAGTCAACGTCAACGTCATCGTCGTCTTCATCTTCTTTTCCGGCTTTGATTACAGCCTTCTCTACCACGGATTTAACACAACGGGTAGAACAGCAACAACTGGGCAATATGTCTCCTATGCAAACTTCTACAAGCAATAATAATATCAATAATAACAACAATAATAATAATAATCATAATCATAACAACAATAACAACAACAACAACAACAACGGAAATACTGTCAATACTAGTAATGCGCTGACTCAACACAATCTCAACAGTAATATTAACGTTGATCAATTTACGCAGTGTTGTTATCCGAACGGTGATTGTTGTAAATTGGATACGTCCCTTATCTATTTAAGCGATCTGTCCGACTGTGTGAAGGTTTTGTGCAACAATGAGAATTGTTCCGTGGGTCAATATATGCATAAAGAATGCTTCGAATCATGGGAGCAACAAATAATGGTATCTCTAAAGAATATGGGAGGCCGAGCCCGATCTTGGTCAGATCGTCAAAAGGTTCAAAATATGTGGACCAAAAAAGGTTACGACCTTATCTATAAACTTTGCAATTGCAAATGTTCTCGCGGTCATTTGCGAAAGGATTTAGAATGGACTGCTCCCAAAGCATTATCCTTTGGCAATGGACAACGTTTATTAAACGGTGCTGGGTCATCGGTCAATGATGATGATGATAAGAAGAATAAGAGCAATAATAGCAATAATAAAAAGAAACGCAAAAATAATCAGAAAAACACATCAAATCAACAATCGCAACAACAAACCCAGCAGCAACAAGCAAATTCGATAACAATAAACGGTGGTAGCAATATAAGTAACAATAGTTTGGAATGTGGTGGTCAGAATAATTTGATGCCGGCACCAAATGTCGGAGTGATCGGTTCAGGTTTACCGCAAAATCAACATCAACAACAGCAATCGTCTATAACGGCCAATGATGCAAATACCGATATGCCGGCGAATATGGTAACTTCTTTGAACACAATTCTACTTAACAGTCATATCAATACGAATGCGTCAAATATTTTGGGACTTGATATACGGCCAACACGTACCAATAGCATTTCCTCGGGTAGTAATAATAGTGGTTCCTCTTCACCTTCGGCTATATCGACGTATTCAAGTGGTATTGGCAGTGGCGGCATTAATACTATCAATGCTGATTTAACCTTGTGTTCACCCATACAACAGCAGCCACAGCAACAGCAGCAGCAGCAGCAGCATAATCTTATGCAATCATCTGTCGCTTCACCATTAACTAAGACAATATTAAGTGGTTTAAGTAATTTACATAATTCCGTACTTCTGTCCAATAACAATACAAACGCAACTAATGCCATTCATAATAATAACAACAATAACAGTGTGTCAAAGTGTTCGTCGTCTGCATTGATCATTAAACCACTTCATACCCCATCATCTGCAAATCAAATTTTATCTAATGGTTTTAAACAATTAACGCTGTTCGAAGAACAACAGCTGCTATTGCAACAAAAATTAAAAGAAGTCGAATTATATTCGGAAAAAGTGCGGTAAGTAATGAAAATTATCTTATGCTACTTTTGCTTTGCCAAAAGTTTTACCCCGCAACACATAACACAAATTTGAAATATTATCCAGTTGTAATAGATATTGTTTTGAATTTCCATATTAAAAAAAACTTCAACTTGCTCGCGAGGATACAATTCACTTAATAAATTCTATGGGATGATATAATTTTTACATAATAATAACACATTTCGTGTCAACTTATATATGAAAGACACATTTTCTCATTATTCTTATTGCTTCAAAGTCTTTATTGCAAAGAGAAAAAAAAAAAATGGTAGATAAGTCAAAAAGAAAAAGGCTTATAAGTAAAGTTGAAAGCACAGTACTGTGAAATGTTTCGAAAAAAGAACTATTCATGCATTAGGTTGCAATTCCTACAGTTTTACAAAACAAAACTCGCGCCACTAAAAGAATTGCATCTTATATGCTATTGTTCGGAATGTTATGAATTTTGACATCCTTCGTTTAAAGGTTGCATCTGAAATCATACGCAGATACGAAGGTCTCTAAAGATTATACGGATTCCTCAACAGTAGCGATATATATATATATATATATATATATATATCATCTCACAATCTTATTGCGTGCTTTGGTATTTTTTCATAGGCCGAGGGGTAGGGAGTGCGTTTGTAGCCTTTTGTCATTCATTTTGCTTCCATTTTTATCTTTTAATTCCCCAGTTGCCATGTTTCACTTTTTGTAAGCCTTGCATTTCTGTATTCACTCTCGCATTCGAAATACTAAAGAGCATAAACTTATATTATTTTCCTAAAAATTTCATGAAAATTTCTCTACCCATAGTACCCATGTCATCATTTTTCTTACGATTTTCGTCTTACAATTCCAAAGGTATTCGAAGAGCTCGTTAAATAACGGGGACTTTGCCTTATATTGTGTTTAGTGTGTAAATGACTATACATGTGTAAAGGCAGGAAAACCCCTCCTACCATAAATAGCTTCTTTTTGTTTGTGTGAGCTTCGAAAAAATATCAACATTTTTTTAACCTCAGCTTTAATATGGCACACTGCAGGCGCTCTGTAGGTTGGCGGCGAGCGGAAAAAAAAAACTACAAAATCTGTTAAGAACTGACGAGGAACGTTTTTCATTTCGAGGCTAATTTCTCAAAAAGCCATAACTGCAGACGTGCAATGTAACGCAGAACACTAGTTGTATAGTTAGCTCAGGAATGTTGTGACAACGTCTTGAAATTTCTAGAAGAGAGGAGGAGTGTTGCAGTCGTAAAATATCAGGGCCTGTAGAAGCCTGAAAGTTCCGCTATTTATTCCGCGTGAAGACAAGATGTTTTATAATGTATTGAAAGAATGAAGAGAACGCAGAGCAATTATTGACTAATAAAACGAAAGGAACCAATGTAGATATGTAGGAGAAAAGGAAGATGGACTTTTTGATTAAAAATGCTCGAGAGGAATTAAATTTTCCGACATGTAAAGTAAAAAATTTAACTTTAATGCTTGTAGTATGACTGGGAGTTTTAGATTGAACTAAGCTTTAACTATACTTGTAAACTAAACGAAAATATATGCATACTGGTCAGCGCATAATTTGCATAATTACTTCAATTTTCAAATTTTTATTTAAAGAAAAAAAAAAAAAAAAAAAAAAGGAAAAAAAAAACACGTAGTCTTCGATTTTATGTTCAAGTAATTATAAACCATGTTCCATTTCAAACCAGTTTAGCTGACTTAGATATGACTGCTAAATGATATGTTTAAAGAATTAATGTTAATATTTTCGAAGACGGAGCCTTGAACTCTATTCACGAGGCGCATTTTTTTTTTTTTTTATTCGCCTACATTAAAATTTTGAATTCATTGCACATAACAAGCCTTGCTGGCGAAATTTTCAGTAAAATCAATTAAAATATTTATGTGACATATAATAAGCATAATATGCAGATTTTTTTTTTTTTTTTGATCATACTTTTTATTTTTCCATTTTTTTTTTTTTCTGCCAGATTCCACGTTACGTGCGCGATTAGACAAATTGCGTCCGCTCGAAGATTTCAAAAAAAAAAAAAAAAAAACAAAAAAAAATCCCAATTGTAGAAATTTTATATCTTTTCTATATATTTTTAGCAAAATACTAAAAACAAATAAAAAAAAAAAAAAAACCAGAAATATTATATGTATTTAGGTGAACATGTTTTAAATTTTTTTTATGCTCGATTTTTATTTCATTATAGTAAAGTTTTCATGTGTAACGTAGCAGCCCATCACAGAAGTCATATTCAATTTCTAAACATATTTTATGAGAGGTGACAAACACATGCACAGAAATCGGAAGTTTTACTTTCTTTAAATATTCTTTTTTTTTTTGTTTTTTGGTGCAAAATGTAGTAAGAGTGTCATCTGTTTGAAATAAGGTTATTCGTACATGTCGTTAACATATCTGAACCCGGAAAGCGTAGCTAATCAAATCGAGCATCATAAACCCGTTTTCCTTTATCTTTTCTTCTCCTCGTCGGATATCAATTTGTGCATACAGTCGTCACTGGCCGCCGGAAGTCCGGTGAAGTAAAAAATACTTGATCCCTGCACAATGTGCTTGTCATTCAACCTACATATATAGTTAATCTATATGTAAATTTTGGAATCTCTTTAGCAATGTCTGTCTTTTCGTCTTCCTCTTCTCATGCTTTGGAAAGGTTATAATGAAAGGTTATGATGTAGTTTGTGAATAATGGATAAATGCTCTATAATATTTTTTTTTTTTTAAATGGTGTTATGTTGCATAGTGTGCGGGAATTTTCAATACCAATTGGTCCACAAGAACTTCCAGTGCTTTTGATATAGTTTTTGTGATTAGAAGAACATTTACCATAGACACGAATAGCAAGCCAGAAAGACAATAGGAGAGACATGCCTACGTATTATATATACACTTTATAGGATGTCTGATATTTGCTTCTTGGTGGTGCAAATGATTTAAGAAAAATTACCATAAGTTTAGCCTTCGCTGCATAAGCGACAACATTATTGTGGGGCAGTGCTCACCATTAACTGCCTTAAACCTCTTCATGACTAATCAAATGCTTTTCAAAATAAAGCATTGTATGGAAAATGGGTTCAAATAAGCGCCACCATCCGAACCGCTTTCAATAGCATTCCTCTTTGGAGCAAAATACCTCGGAACACAAAATTTTATCAAAATATCTTAAAAGTTGCGACTAACAGATTGAAAAGAAGAACAAAAGGCGGACAGACAGACGAACAGACGGACAGGCGAGCTTAGATCGATTCATAAAGAAAAAATGTTTTTATCGCTGCATATATCCGCCCATAACTTGATATACTCCTTGTAGCTCAGGTAGTAGTGTAAAGTATAAAATTTATCCTAACCTAACGAGTAGTGGTTGAAGTATAGAACGATTCGGTCTAAGAAAAGTACGATATATTTTCTTTCTCGTTCTTTTTATTATAATTTTTTATTTTTTTGTTTTTTTTTTTTTTGTTTTTAGCTTCTGTCTGTTTTTTTAGTTTTGCATTGTTATTTTATTTTGGTTCGTTTTCACTCTCTAACCGGTTTTAAAGGAAGTGGAAACGTCGTATATCATTTACATAAGAATGAGTTTGTTGTCGCACAGCCACGCTTCAGTTACCCGTAATGCAAATTAAAATTAATTAAAATATTGTTGCGTTTTTATTTCATTCTTAATTATATATTTATTTATTTTTTTGTTTTGTTAGTAAGTTTATTTTCACTTTTATTTAAGTACAATTTAACGTTATTCTAACCGCTTGGCAAAAAGTTATTTTTGCTTTTTTTTTTTTTTGTAGCTTTTGTCATAAAATCTCTTTGCATTATGTTAATTTGTTGTACACATTACACATTACAATGCAATACGTTAGACGTTAGATGACAGATAGACATCTAATATTTTAGAATGTTATAATCAATTCCTTTAATGGTTAAATAGTTTTCAAGTTCTCTATTTAAAATGTGCAAAATTTGATGCAGTTTTCACTTACTTGCACTATACCTTAAGCGCATGCATTAAAAGCTTTTAATATTTTAGCATCTTGTTGTGTGTGTCCAAGTTAGTATTTATTGAGCGAACATCATTTGTGCAGGCCATCTGTTCGCCTTAGGATTCGTCATGCTTGATGGGTAATTAATTGCGTAATATCTAAAACAAGTTGTTTTTGTTAAAAATTTGCAAAGTTTCATGACCCTTAAGCATCATCTTTATTTAACACATCATTCAATAATTTTGTAGGGTGACAATTGGCGAATCCATATAATTTTCCAATACTTTCGACTTTCCGATCTTCAATAGTTCACCAGTTATGATTGGTTTTTTTTTTTTTTTTTAATATGACCAATCACTTAGGAATTGACCTCTATAAGCGCAACAGGGTAACGGAAACAGAAAGTAGTGGGAAAAAAAAGGGAAATGGAAAGCTAGTGAGTATGTGATCAATCGGTAAGTGTTATGCTTTTATCGAGGGACCACTCATTATAGCTACGACCGCACTGGGATTTGAACTCGCAAACACTGACATGGTAATCGCGGCTCTATTCAGCTGCTTAGGCGAAATTCTTTTACTTTGACTTCTTATAACTTTCCGAGCTGATCGTCAGCGTTCTAATAAATAATCTGACGAACGGACAGACAGCCAAACAGACAGCTAAACAGACAGCCAATAAAGGAAGAGATCAAGAACATAAATACACTCTATAGGTTCTCTAGTGGACAAGAAGACAGCAAAGCGAGAAATCAAGAAGGTATATATATGCACACTCAATGGAATCTCTGATAGACGATTCCGTAAATCAAGTAATGTAACACTGACCCAATGAGCTCAAATCCACTAGTCTGTGTCCATCGTCCCCCTATCCATTTCGGTGTGGTCATGGACATGGTCATGTTATACGTAAAGAGGAGAGATAACCTGTGATTGATTGGTCATATTACAAAAAAAAAATTAATTTTAATGTCATAATGTTAAGCAAAAA